CAGTACATCTGTGCTCAAATACATCCGAAATGAAACCTCACGATTCAAAGTTTTCGTTTCTAATCGGGTCTCTCAAATCCTGAAAGTTTCCAGTCCTGAGCAGTGGAGGTATGTGGACACTGCAAGCAATCCAGCTGATATGGCATCTAGAGGTGTTAAGGTGGATGTGTTTATTCAAAACACTACATGGGTGTCAGGGCCTCACTTTCTTTTACATCCGGAGAGTGAGTGGCCTGTAAACAAGGAGGACGTCAACTACCTTTCATCTGAAGACCCCGAGGTCAAAAATGTTGCTGCAACAAACGTTACACAACTCAAAGAAGATCCAGTCACTTACCTGATCAAGTATTTTTCTTCCTGGACACGCCTTAAGAAATCTGTAGCATGGTTCTTGAGGATCAAGGACTGGCTCATGTCTTGTTTAAAGGAAACAAGGCACTTTCATCAGACCGTTGTACAGTCTGGCAACAATGCACAGCAGAGCTCCTCCGTGGCAGAGGAGATTGATTATTTTAAAAGGACAAGCAGTAAACTTACAGTGGAGGACTTGGACCGGGCTGAGCTTGCCATCATTAAATTCTGTCAGGGACAGAGATTTCCTGAAGAGCTAGCCAGTCTGGAGAAAGGGCAACATATTAAAATATCCAGTCACCTCCATAAACTCTGTCCACAGCTGCAAGATGGAATCCTGAGAGTTGGTGGTCGTCTCTGTAGGTTGGCTATGCCTGTGGAAGTTAAACACCCTATAATATTAACAAAAGATCTTCACATTTCAGAACTCTTGCTGAGACATATCCATCAGGAAGTGGGGCATGGTGGACGGAACCATATGCTGTCCAAATTGAGGGAGAAGTACTGGATAACTGGTGTCAGTGTAGCCATAAGGAAAGTACTGTCCAAATGCATCGTCTGTCGCCGTCTAAATGCTCTGCCAGTTTACCAGCAAATGGCAGACTTGCCACACGAAAGAATAGTCCCAGATGAACCACCATTTACTCGAGTGGGAGTGGACTATTTTGGACCTTTTGAGGTTAAGAGCCGAAGGAGCATGGTAAAGCGGTATGGGGTTATATTTACCTGTCTTGCCATCAGAGCTGTACACCTTGAGGTTGCTCCATCATTGGATACAGACTCATTCATTAATGCACTCAGGCGTTTCATTTCCAGAAGGGGACAGGTGCGAGAGATCCGTTCAGATAACGGAACTAATTTTGTAGGTGCAGAACGTGAGTTGAAAGCTGCCATTAAACAGTGGAACCAGGGGCAGATCAATGATCTTTTGCTGCAGAAGGGAATCAGATGGAGTTTTAACCCACCGGCTGGCTCTCATCATGGAGGATCATGGGAGAGGTTAATAAGATCAGTGCGTAAAGTCCTTAATTCAATGTTTAAGGTGCAAAACCTGGATGAAGAAGGTCTTCACACAGTGCTCTGTGAGATTGAAGCCATCATCAACAGCCGTCCAATCACCAAGGCTTCCATGGATCCAAATGACCTGGAAGCACTAACCCCAAACCACTTGTTGCAGTTAAAGACTTCACCATCCTTACCCCCAGGGTTGTTCCAACCGACAGACATGTATGCACTTAGGAGGTGGAAACAGGTACAATACATGTCCGATCTATTCTGGAAGAGATGGGTTAAGGAATACTTACCTCAGCTACAGGAGCGTCAGAGATGGATTGGAGTTAAGAGGAACCTCGTTGTGGGAGATCTTGTGATCATTATGGACAGCACAGCTCCTAGAAATTCTTGGCCAACAGGTCGAGTGATCCAAACCTTCCCAGACCGAAGAGGATTTGTCCGTCAAGTACGGATTAAAACAAAAACCAGCTGTTTGGAAAGACCTATTACCAAGGTCTGTTTGCTGCAGGAGGCTGAGTTTGATTAAATATGAACTACAGTTAAATTATTTTCTTTTTTTTTTGATAATTCCTTTTGTGGATTATTTTTTTTGCTTTTTTGTGGATTTTGCCATTAGGACACAAAGAAGAAAAGTATGGACATTTTACTGTTGGACTTTACAGTTGAACTTTTGTGTGTTTGATTTATGTCTCCTATCTGTAATTTTGGATAATTATTATGTGGTGATCTAATAATTAGGGGCTGGTGTATAGGAGCCATATTACTTTTCATTTAATTATAATGTTTATTTGATACTGATTGGTTTGGGTTTCACAGTGACGTTTTATGTTTTGGTCACGTGGGCATAATTGGCACCTGCTCGAACATAAAGCGCGTGCACAATCACACAGGTGATGAGGAGAGAAGGAGAGTGGGGTAGCCGTATTTTTTGTTGACCGCAAACAGCCACGCAAACAGCAGCGCAAACAGCCACGCAAACAGCAGCGCAAACAGCCACGCAAACAGCAACGCAAACCAAGCAACGCAAAACTGTATCACAACGGCACACGCAACAATCATCACACCAACGCAATAATCGGCACCATACAAGGTATTCAAAGACACAAATTGCTGTATTGTTTTTTCATGCTTCAAGTTACATAAAGTTTTCCATATAACATCTTGGGCTCAGTGTCTCTGTCTAAAGCCACCAGCGCGTCACAAATATAAAGGACCCTCACTGCCTCTCGAGCGACTTATAGGAGGCATCAGGAAGTCGCAATATCCATCATTTATCCTAAATGCGCCTAAAAATAGGTTGATGGAATTGTAGCTATTGTCCTTAGATGCTGGCGACCTAAATCTAACCTCATAGTAACATCTATTGATGTTGTGTGTCTGCTGGGAAGAAATCTACTCAATGATTGGTCCATGCCTATGTCCATTCCTATATCAAACCTCTAAAACTGACACTTACAGTAGGATTTACTCCTAAACTTCACTTAAACTATGACTGGGATGTACCGTATGATAAGTCATTTTTAAGCACTGCTTTGAGCCAAGATTTTTTTTTTTACTCTCCAGTCAATTTTAGCACTTGTTATGAGTAATTTTCAGAACTTTTGTGAAATACAGGTGCAGACATTTCAATTAAAAGCAGATTTCATGTCTTTTTGTTAACTGTTTGTGCTGCAGTAATTCTAATTTTTCCTGCTTTGCTCATATTTAGAATTTTTTTATCAAAATTAAGTACAAATTAGAGGCCAGAAACAAACAAACATTCTGAAGAAAGAAGCTAATGCATTTACACTGTCCAAATACGCTGTGTTCCACACAATGCATTCATGTCATTCAGGTTAGCTTAATCGTTTTTAGCAAGTTTAAGTGGACTGAACAAAAAAAAATTAAGTTGTCCCCCCAAAAGACTTAAGAGTTGTGTTGTTTCAATTTTAAATGAGTAGTTTGAATGAGCAGCAAAAGTCATTTTTGAGTGTAGGTTAATGCTCACAATAAAGATTGTTTCTAATTTTGGTGTCTCACCAGTGACGATGTACAGCCATATTGCACTGCTACAAATGTAATATTGCGCTTATACAACAGTTTGGTAGCATAATCGTGTATAAAAAAAGAAAATCAAACACAGAGAGTCTCAAAAACCCTTTTGTTCAAGGAACTACTTTCTTCCCCCATTCATTTACATCTGCAGCTGATGTCAGAACAGCAGAAACTGTTGCTACTTTAACCAAACATCACTTTAGAGATAGTATTTGAATGATTCTCTAGCTTAATGTCTAAAGTGATGACACATTTTAAGATTTAACAGCATGAAATGAAAAGAGTTTCTTATTACTTACTAATAACAAACATCCAGACAGCATCCATGCTGCTAGGAGTAACATTTTAAAGAATATGTCAATATGCCCTTTTAATGACAAAAAATTATAAAAAATTATTGCTGGATTAAAGAAAGCATCTGATCACAGCAATAGATATATGTTTGAACCAGATCTACAATTCATCAGTGGAAATACCACAAGCTGAAAAACATTTTTGGAAAATTTATTCTTAAGATTTTTTTTAAAAAATTTGGCACCAGATTTGAAAAGCAAATGAATCTGTTTCTGAGTTTCCCCCTAATGATCAAATAGTCTCCTGCAGGACTTCTCTTATCTAGCGACATCTGTTGACCAGCGCAAAGTGAGCGTCCTTTCAGCCTGGCATTAACATGGGATTTCGGCTGCTGTATATTTATTTGTCCTACTCCCCTTTCTGCTATTCTCACTGGAGGACCTGTGGCTCAAACAATGTCCCTTGATAATAGTGAATGTTGAAGGTGCAGCTGTTCGGGGAGTGCTGCGTTAGAGTTGCATTAACAGTCCCTTTTCTGTCTGTTCTATCTGGAAGAGCAATGCTGGCCCCATGGCTCCTAAGAGGAGCAGGAGGCCCAAGCGCGTGAAGATACCCATGGCGGTAAGAACGCAGCCGCAGGGACTCGTTCCTCTCTCGCCCACAAACACATTTCATCGGGGGCAGCAGTGGCACAGGCAATACGGCCTTTCCAACTCAAGAGGCCTTATTGCGTTCTGCCTGTGTGCTCAATTGATACTCTCCGCCAGCTTAGTGCTTCCCCTCTAGGGAACAGGGAACAAGCTGACTCACGAGATGATTCATGCCATGTTATGAAGCTTACATTTGTACCTCATGGGAATGCGTGCGTTTGTGTGACGCATGGTTTGGTTATTGTGGTTTTGGAGATTCGGGAGCCCCGTCCGTTCGCACAAACCAGCCAACGGATGTCAGGAGATGCTGTGGTTGGACCTATTTGTATTGAACAAAGCTTCACAAAGTTGATTCAAGTCCAATTTTCAAACTCTCCGATCAAATTAAGAAGCTCTCAAAAAGCTATTCCCTGTCTTAGTTCTTTATTGCCTTCGTAATGGCATCCAATCTACCTCACCCTCCCATGGGCTGCGTTAAATGTATTGCTTAAGCTTGCTAATGTTTAGTAAAGCTTGAGCCGCTTCGGTAGATTAAATTAGTATGTGGAGCTTGTCTTGTGAACTGAGTGAACTGCATGGTTGTTTATGAGAGAAAAAAACAAACATGTGAAAGACGTGTGTGTGTTTTGTGTCTAATTCTCCACTTGATGTTTTCAGGATACAGCTGATGTTGAAGATGACATGTCAACAGCAGAGGTATTTATACTGTATTTGTCCTTTATCATATTGTTACTGTGTCATGAATGAAGTGAGTCATGTATACTGAGGTATTTTATTGTTTTATTGTAACTGAGGCAAGTTTTAGAATGAATAATTCTGATCTGATGTTTCAATTTAGACATTAACTTTTTTTTGCCAGATTTTTATTATGTTGTGTTTTTTTTTTTTTTTTTTTTTTTAATTTACAGAAGACATCCACAAAAAATTTATTTAAGGGTAGGAATAGTTTAAATTCCAAAACATATTGTATTGTAAACAAAATCGTTGGCAAGGCAAGTTTACCTATATAGCACATTTCATACACAATGGTAATTCAAAGTGCTTTACATAACCAGGAAAAAAAGAGACATTATAGTAAAACAAGAATAAAAATGATTAGAAACAGATATTAAAGTGTGTTGAAACATATCTTGGAGCACATCTGATCATTTCTGGAAGCTGATTCCAGCAGCGAGGGGCATAGTAGCTGAAGGCAGATTCACCCTGCTTTGACTGAACTCTTGGAATTTCTAAAGGCTTGTATTCAGTGAGCATATCTGTAATGTATTGAGGTCCTAGGCCATTTAGTGATTTATAGATAAGTAATAACACTTTAAAATTCATTCTGTATGTAACTGGGCGCCAATGTAAAGACCTGAGGACAGATTTGATGTGCTCCGATTTTCTGGTTCTGGTCAGAATCCTGGCAGCAGAGTTCTGGATGAGCTGCAACTGTCTGACTGTCTTTTTTGAAGGCCAGTGAGGAGGCCGTTACAGTAATCCACCCTGCTGCTGATAAAAGCATGAACAAGTTTCTCTCTGTCCTCAAGTCCTCACTGGATACAAAGCATCTAATTCTTGCAATGTTTTTGAGATGATAGTATGCTGATTTACTTACTGCTTTGACATGACTACTAAAACTCAGATCTGACTCCAGAATGACACAAAAATGCTTAACCTTATTTTATGTTGTTTGACCTAAGACTGGGTGATATTGCAAAAAAGAATTTATCAGGATATTATGTTTCATATCAATCGATATCGATAATTATTGAAAGTTTTTTTAACAATCTATTTAGGAATATTAGGATCTTTTTAACCACTTTATTTTAATTTACCAACATTACTGAGACAAATATTTTTATTTGTAAAAAAAAAAGAAAGAAAAATATCTGATCTCTTTATAACAAAATAAACATAAGTGTTAAAGAGACTTTTAAACTTGCTAAATAAAATGTTACAAATGCTGAACAATCAAGTAAACTTTAAGATGTGCCCTTTTCATAGAACTCTGTCAACAACACAAATTATGATAATCAAATCTGAGCTTTAAAGTAAAGGAACTATTATATACTTATTGCAACACTACAAATTGTGAAGTTGAATGACTATATAACCCCCTGTGCTAAAAATTCTTTCAGATTGGGAGCTAGTGGCTGGGATGCACAAGAAAAGAAATCAAAAAGCCACTCTGGCGACATCCTTACATGCTATTTTATTTACAGTCTCCTCACTGCTGCTATATAACACTCATTCGCATGTGTTGTTATTCTGACCTGAAGTGACAAACGCAAGTGCATGGTTTCCTTGGCCATGAGCTTTGCGCTCGTGCTGCCCTGGCGTCTTTCATAACTCAGTGACCATTAATCGCTTTCTCAGAGGATGAAAAACGGACAAGTCTTAGCTGCAGCTCCGATACAAGTTTATGAAGTAAACATTAAAAAAGCACTGCAGTGTTTGGATACGCTGTGTTTGTCTGAGGTAATTAGTCTGCCATTATTACAGAAATGTGTATATTCCATACAAAGTGTGAAGCAGATTGGTTAGTTCTACTTACATAAATTGCAGTTCATTTGCTCAATTCTGAAAAGTTCAGATGTTTAAACTAGATTCGGCTGGAAAATGTGCGTGCGTCATATGTGTATGTGTGCACCGCTTGTACGTGCCTCTATTGGAAATGACATACTTACACCCTAAGTTAATTGGCATTGCTTCCAAGGCAAGTGCTCAGCAGCCACATATTAATAAAACCTTTATACTGAAACTACATACCAAACTTTTTTATCGATATTGACAATGGTGTCTGTTCGGTCCTTAAATATGGATACCGATTTTATCCCCCAGCCCAAGTTTTACCCCTAGAGCCAAGGTACGCATTCACATTGAGAACCTCATTTCTGTTGCAATAAGTTCAGATTTCTCTTTGTTTAACTGAAGAAGGTTTTGGCACATCTAACTGGTAATTTCATTAATGCATTGGCAGAGGGTGTCAATGGGGCTGAAGTCATTAGGCAGTAAGGCTAAGTAGATGGCCAAGTAGATCTGAGTGTCATCAGCAAAGCTGTGGTAGGAGATTTAGTTCTTTCTCATTATTTGGCTCAGAACCATGAGCATCATGTAATCACAATATACAATCACAGTACAGCTCTAAAGTACTACATTATTGTCATAAATTATTATTTCTATCCACCAAAGCATTACGCAAAAATGTTATAATAATTCAAAATATAAAAACATTTAATATCATAGTTGGTTGTTATAAGCATTTCAGAAAGTACAGATCAGAATAATATGTTGTTTTGCTTGTTAGTCTGTTGGTGATTGATGATGGTAGATTATTTATTATTGTATTTTTTAAACATTAAAGTGCACTTTACTTGCAATGAGTGCACTATTGATTTCACATTTGTAAATTTAATTGGATGCAGACACCAAAATGTCTTTGAGCCAATATGCAAAACAGAGATTTTGCTTCTTTTTATGCTTTTAATCAAATAAGATAATTTATAACCTTGATTGTGTGCCTATGTGATTTTATCTGTAGTATTCAATATATCTTGTGCTTTCATGCAGCAAGTTGCCAGTTAAAAGTAATTTTCTGTCTACAGTCACTGTCAAATACTATCAGAGTCAATCAGATTTTTTTTATATTTAATGCAGAGTTATGTAGAGCAGGATTACAGTCCAGTGAGCGCTGTGAGCAGAGCCACAGAAATAGACACGAAGTGACTGCCAAAATGCCATGTTGCTTATCCTAGAGATATTTTTAATCACTTGGTTAGGACAGTGTGAAATAAAGCTAATTCTGGAACTTTTAAAGGGATAGTTAACCCAAAAATTAAGCGTCTGTCATCATTTAATCTGTTCCTAAATCAGCAGGACTTATATATACTCATATGCTAATAGTTGTTAAAAAACAGACTGAAATTTAGAACATTATTCACAAAATCGTAGCTGAGGTCACTGCTCACTGTTGTAAATAAAAGGGCATTCAGTATTCTTATATAAATATATTTATAAGTTAACTCTTCGACTAAAGAAAAAAAGTCAAACAGGTTTTTACTACATAAGGGTGATTAAACGATCACTGGATATCTTTGGTTAATATTGAATAAATTCAATGCTAATCTTTTAAGTTAAACCTTTTTAAATGTTTATTTGTATTTCAGATTGCCGAGTGGGAGGAACAACAGTTGGATGAAGCTGTCAATTTTAACAACTGTAAAATAGACCCCGCTCCCTTTCAGCTAGTGGAACGGACATCATTACATAAGGTGAAAACTCTACCAAGAGTCATATCTGCTAAGTTTGAATCTCTGCAAAGTTGATGTGATTTAGGGCAGGGGTGTCCAAACTCGGTCCTGGAGGGCCCGCATATTTTAGTTCCAACCCCAATTAAACACACCTGAACCAGTTAATCAAGGTTTTTCTGGGACTTGTATGACTTCTTGGCATGTATGAAAAAGGAAGTTGAAGCTAAACTGTGCAGGACACCGACCCTCCAGGACTGAGTTTGGACACCCCTGATTTAGGGCAACCAAGGAGTTCACATCATCCTGCAGATCTTTAAAAAAGAACTAAACAGTTAACTGTCAACTTTTTCAATACATTTAAAAGCTTAGAAAAAGTATTTAATGTTGATGAATAAGAAAATATCTTATTCTTTTGATAGCCACACACATTATCTTTGTAATTTAACCAAAAACCCTCTTTGGAATGATGGGCAATGGCTAAAATGCTAAAATATATACTGTATATATATATATATATATATATATATATATATATATATATATATATATATATATATATATTTATATATATATATATATCTCTGAGGTTTTGGCCCAACACATCATCACAGCACTCTGCCTTTAACGTGTTCAACATAAAAGACCTATAAGTCTTGTAAAAGAGCAGTTTTCACTAATAGAATCATTTGGAGCGAGTGTGTCTTTTTAAAGACATTGTACTGACTCTAAGTTTCTGGATAAAGGGGTTTCAATCCCTGTATCTCATGTCTAGGGGTCCAGCATGAAGACACAGTGCTCGCGAGTTAATCTCCACACTGCATTGGCAAGTCTGTGGTGCACTAAGATCGCAGCTCATGCTCTCCAAAACATGAGCCCCTCAGCTGCTCCCTGAAAATGCAGCACGCACTCAGGGAAATCTGAGGATTATAGTGGGGGGTAATCCACCTGGTAACTTTGCGGTGGATCTTCCACTCTTACACAGCAAATCCTGTCCAGGCAATGAGTGTACCGGTTCATCCTCTGTGATGGCCAAGTTATCATTCGATGCCTCCAGTTGACAGACGTCCATTGCATCATCAGAGTGTGAGCTGTCATGCACCAAGGAGAGTTCTGAATGATCCCTCGAGGGTGTCTGCAACCTCAAACCTTGATCCAGACATGATCGCCTTCCCTCCCCTTCTTTTCAGAGGTGCATGGAGAGCTCACCAGGCATAGTGGATGCATTTCTCCACCCAGTCCTCAAGTTCTTCTGTCCTCACCATCCTCGATGGTAGGATGGCCTAGGTATAAAAACTATCCCCCAGGTTGAGAGTGGGATTTCGGGCAGGTAGTGAACAGGTAGTGAGGTTCCAAGCAATATCTTGAGAGGAGGCATACCGAGTCCTTATGTCCTGTTCACGCACTGCACATTAATGTGGACCGTACTCTGAGTGTAAGTTCTTCTGAGCAACACTTTATCTGTTTTGGTGGTCAGCAGAAGGGTCAGCAGGGGCTAGGCCACACTCAGAATTGCATAATTTTTGAGATTTCCATGTGGTGCGTGGGGTTTGGTGGGGAGAAGAAGGGATCATATTTTGGAGAGCTGGGTTGTGGATAAGATTTTAAAGGGGGGAAGGTAACTGAAATTGAGGGATTTAATAGCTTATGGGTGGAAGATGTTGAGTAGGGCCCACTCACAATATGCTATCTGAATGTGCCCAGGCCCGTTTCCCGGATCGTTTGAGAAGTGTGAGTGCTCTGAATCGGGCTCAGACACGGTTCACTTGGCCGGCCCTGGCCCGGTTGTAAGAGGTGTGCCAGAGCATGGTTCACTAGGGCTTTGGCCGGGTACCCTTGTGTGTGAGTGCAAAACGTGCCAAAGCTTGAGACTGAAAAAGAGGAGTGACTGTTTAATATGGATTTATTAATCATTCTTACTGTTCAATGAACGCAAACTGTCGTAGTTTATTAAAGACGCAAACCCCTCACTGCACGACAGCTGTGCACCTTCAGCAAACCACCTAATTCTGCAGCATGAGGACTTTATGATTGCTTATGAGCGTCAAAAGTTGCAGATCTGTTCGGCGAAAAATTTGACTGTGTGTCACCGCATATCAAAAGACTAAAGCGATATATCTAAAGAAATCTCCACTGTGCTGAGCGAGAGCACTTCTGACCAGCGCATCATTGATGATGTAAGCGTGCCCAGGGCTGAATGTAATGAGAGTGCGGGCCGTCCGGGGAGAAGGGAAGGGGGACAAGCGTGCTTTGGCCCGGTTCAAGACAACTGTACATAGTGTGAGTATGCCCTAAAACTCCAGAACTTTATTCCTGGTGGCAAGAGCTGGAAGAGACTGTTGAAGGGATGGTTGGAGTTTTTCCTGTCAGCTTTGCTGGAGCATCATGAAAGGAAAATGTCGTGAGGCTAGAGGGGCACCAATGATCATCTCAGCTGTCTTCATTGTCTGCAGGATGGACTTGCGGTCAGCAGCATTGCAAATCCCTTGTCGGACTGAGAAGCTGCTGTTCAGCACACTGTCAGTGGTTCCCTTGCACAAGGTGGTGAGAAAGGGTGGAGGAAGATTTGCCCTTTTCAGCTGTCGTAAAAATGTAGGTGTTGCTGTGCCATCTTGGAAAGTAACATAGTGTTGGAGGTCCAGGTGAGATCATCTGTGCACCCCCAGGAATTTAGTGCAGCTGACCACTAACCACAGTCGAGCTGTCGATGGTCAGTGGGGGCTGGTCAGCACGGTTTCTTCTAAAGACCATCACGACAACCTGCGTCTTTCTCACAAAGAGAGACAGGTTGTTAGTACCACACCATTCAGCCAGTTGGGCCACTTTCTTTTTATTTATGCACTTCATCAGTGTTGCTGATGAGACCTACCACCATTCTGTCATCAGCATATGTAATGATGTGGTCGGAACTGATCTAGCAAGTGCAGCCATGGGTCAGCAATGTGAAGAGCAGTGGGCTGAGCACACAACCTTGTAGGGCACCTATGCTCAGTATGGTAGTTAGAAAGTGCAGGATCTAGTTGCAGACTGAGGTGTAAGGCCCTATAGCTTTAGTTTATTAATGAGCTGTTGTGGTATTGTATTGAATTGCTAAGCTGAACATGTGGGAAAGAGCCAGGTTGCGGGTGGATGAAAAGGTACTGGGAGTTAAAGCTGTTATGGCTGTCCTCCAATGGCACAATGCACATTTTACTTTTGCTCAATAAAAAGGTTATTTAAAGATTGAGCTGAATCCCCTTCTCTGCTGTTGACACTATCCTACACAAGCAATTTAAATTCAAACTTTAGATAATAACTCCATCTTACTGTGGACAAAACCCAATGAGCAAAGTCTCTTACATGTAAAGTCTGTTCAGAGGGCAGCCCTATTTGCAAAGTCACCCAGTCATCCAAAATTTATAAAGTTTTTTTTTTATGTGTGCTTCAGTCTACATGGTCTGCTGAGTCTGGGGGGCAAGGGTTATTGTGCCTTGAGTACCCCCTCTGTATGCAAAAGGGAACCTGGGGCATGTAGTCCAAGGATGTTGAGGAAGAGACCCTCACATTTACACCACTGGTGCATATTTGACACTACAACCCCAACAAAGGCTTTTGGCTTGACTGGGGCACCTGAGAAACCTATCTTCTCTTTATTTGATAAGCCTGACAAACCAAGATACAGGGCTATTTCACCTACCACAGCTAAGCCCATGCTGTGGCCACAGCTCTGGAAATAGGTTAAGGTCTGCAATGACCCAGATCTCCTCCAACAATGCTGATTCAGGGAATCCAGTTTGTCTCCCCATCCCCTCTATTAGATCAGCTTGATGTGCTTTGAGCTGTTTGATGGCATTTAGGGCTCTGACAGCCAGGGAAGAAGAGAGGCCATTTTTTGGAAATGCTGAAAGCCTCTCCGTTTATCCAGTGAGTGAACGAGAGGTGGAGTATACAGCTGCCTGGTAATTGGGATGGAGATGACTGCCACAAACTATTTAACCTGGCGGGGGGTTGCACATCCCCATTTTTACTCAGTTATGTACATCCAGCCAAGTGAGACCTTTAACAAGCACCCTATGTGAGAAAGGTTTGTCCTAGAAACGCTCTACGATGCATGTAGGGACAGCTGGAATCAGCTGCTTGGCTGGGAAAATGTGTCCTACGTCACTTAGCGGTCGGCCTCAAAATTGGAGGGATTTGGATCCTACTTAACGTCTGGAAGTTCTAAAAAAGAGACTTATTGTGTTTCTTTCACTCCAATATGACGGTGGACACACTATACCTACACACAGTTCTTTCCAAATAGATTACAAAAGATGATTTTCATCATAGGTGCCCTTTAAAACATCTGTAATAATTGTAAAAAATAAAGTGGACTACTTTGCAGATTTCACCTGTTGCAGGTTATTTTTTAAACGTAACCCCTGTGAATAAGGAGAGACCACTATATATGTTTGCCCAACTTATTTCATTAAAAATTTTGTGTTTTAGCAATCCTGAAAGCTGTCTTATATGGAAAATATCACAGAGTAATATAAACAAAAAAACATTTTCATCACAATACTTTCATCGGTATACTGTATTCATATATTTGTGCATTTCAGACACACACCATTTTTTCACTTCTTGGCCTGGATCATGCCTATGTCACCAGCACCGGACGTCTAGTAGGAGTCGTCTCTTTGAAAGAGGTGCGTGACTGTATTCATTAAACAAGCTCTTCATTATGATTGAAAAACATCTTACCAACAGGTTGTGTTTGTTTCTAGCTACGTAAGGCCATTGAGGGCTCAGTAACCGTAACTGGTGTAAAGGTGCGTCCTCCGCTGGCTAGTTTCCGGGACAGTGGCAACAGCAGCAGCGTCTCGGAGGTCACTGAGCTCCACAAGCTCTGGAGTCGCCACAAGAGCCTATCTTTGCCACGGGAGATAAACCTCCCCGACCTTGATGACCAAACGGAGCAGCCATCCGAGGGCAGCCTGGTGAACGAAACTGAGTGCACAGAGCTTTCCAGTCAGAACAGCCCATTACACACAGATGACCAATCAGAGCTGCCCTACGCTGACACCTCACCCCAAGATGAGCCTCTGTCGCAGCTCCCATGTGACTGTCCAGAGGTGGAAGAGTCAGAATCTGTTGGTGAACACTGCCCAGAATCTACTGTGGTGGTGGGTGATGGAAACCCCTCGCCGTCAGATGGTCAGCCCGAATGACAGCTGCTGAACGATGGTAACACTCACTCCATTCACACCATAAGCTGGATTGTAGAGTCCGGTTGAGGAGAACCTGGAGGAAGTCTTTTAGCAGTGAAGCACACTTTCTGCTCCGTACTAATCAAAGCAACCCCAATCGCTGGTCCTGCCTTCACACAAGACACGCCGTGTGTGTTTGTATGCGTGGGATTTCATAGATACACACTGCTATTTGAGCTTCGGATACGATTTCAGAATGATCGTACAATTGTATGCGTGCTTTCATCATTTATTTGAGAGGTTTCATTGAGCGTTGATGGCTCAAGAGCGATCATTATTCAGCATTTCAGTTTTCATCATACACAACTCTGTTGTTTTTTTGTTTACTTGTGGCTTCAGGATGCGTAAATCTTTGTTGACATTCATTGAAATTAATTACTTTAATAACGTCATGGCGTGGATTTTTTTTTTTTTGAGTGCAGGTTTTGATCAGTGGCTTTATTTCTGTGTGATTGTTGATTTATGTTTGTGAACGTTCATGTCACCAAAGGCAATGAGCAATCATTTTCATCCTTCAGGTTTTCATCATAAACACAGTTTGTTTGTCGACTTGTGGCTTCGTGGTTCACTGATAATAGTCGATGGCATTGAAAGGTTAGTTTCTCGTCATGGCCTGCTCATTTTTGAGTGTAAAATTTTATCATAAACCGAGTTGGTTAGCTGATTTATGGTTTTATTTCACATTTGTTTGTGTTTGTTGTAAAGATCCATCTTCATGTTTGTTTGTCAGTTCGTAGCTTCATTGTTAATTTCCGTTGATTTTTTTTGGTGAGATTCATTTAAAAAAGTTTATATTCAATGATGTCACAGCGGGCTCATAAGGGTTTTCATCATAAACACACAGTGTTTGTCCGTTGATTTGTGGCTTTACAGCCTGTTTGTGTACTTCATCTTTGCGCAAGCGACAGAGTGTGTAAGAGAAGAAGTGTGTGTGTGTGAGTGACTCAGCTGCACCTAGCCAACGCACCCATCTGGTGCCGACACTTTAAATCCAAATAAAATTGTCTCTGAGAGCCAAACTACAATTTTGTTCTAAATATAGCTCTTAATAACCCACACTGCAAGGAAACATGGAGCGAGAGAGCTGGGGGAAGAAAGGGAGCGGGTGGGCAAAAGAGGACAGAGAACAAGAACTTAATGCAAATTGAGCAAAGGATGGGAAGGACATTGGAAAGAGGGTTGTGGAAAGGCAGGAGATGGCATGGGAGAGTGGGATAAACTGTGCCGATGTTTACTTGAGTTGTGTAATCAAGTAAATGAGTATGAGGAAAAGTAATCAGGTAAACAATTATTTTTTTAGAATATAGTGGCATAAAAATATGATTTCTTACAAAAACCTAATGTCTAATGAAACAACTTACCTCATTTTAGCGGTAAAATGCATCATCATTTAAAGAAAATAAGAACTGTTTGGGGACCTTTACACTTTTTATTTAATTTCATGAAAGAGAGTATCATTTTTAAAGGCCTATTTTGCTGTGCAATATTCACATTTTCATAAACCCTTTGGAAATATTTAGTAAATATGCATGAAGGAAAGCATGTTTTTACATTTTGTCACAGTATTTGTTTTTTCCTGCATTTTGATGCTAGCTCATCCTCAATTTTAGCCACCGGCACATTTTACCCTGAAGCACCTGATAAAAACACAAAGCTAAAATGATGGGGAAAACAACATATCCATTTCTCATTCATAGTTAGATTAATCATTACATTATGCTTTACCCATTATTGACTTTGTTTAATGTTTCATGCTTTGTTTCAAATGCTGACAATAAAACAATTTTTTTGTTATATTGTTAATAAATCTACTATGAGATGCTGGGCTCTACATAATCGAATTATGTTGGGATAACATGAAGGAATGAAGTTAACTCATTGGTTTTTACAAATTCAGGTGGATTGAACATAAAACAATTAAGATGTCCCCCCTAAAAAACTCAATAACTTTAGTAGTTTTAGCTCATTTTAAATACACTCATATGCCACTTCATTAGGTACACCTGTCCAACTGCTCGTTAATGCAAATTTCTAATCAGCCAATCAAATGGCAATAACTCATTTGCAAATGCATTTAGGCCTGTAGACATGGTCAAGACAATCTGCTGCAGTTTAAACTTGCATCAGAATGGAGAAGAAAGGTGATTTAAAGTTACTTTGAACGTGGCTTGGTTGTTGGTGCCAGACAGGCTTGTCTAATTATGTCAGAAGCTGCCAATCTACTGGGATTTTCACACAACCATCCCTAGGGTTTACAGAGAATGGTCCAAAAAAGAGAAAATATCCTGGGTAGTTCTGTGGGTGCAAATGCCTTGTTGATGCCAGAGGTCAGAGTAGAATGTCCAGACTAGTTGGAGCTGCAACAGTAGTTGAAAGGCAACAGTAACTCAAATAACCACTCGTTACAACCGAGGTATCAAAAAAAGCATCTCTGAACGCACAACACGAACCTTGAGGCGGATGGGCTACAGCAGCAGAACACCACATCGGGTGCCTCTCCTGTCGGCTAAGAACAGGAAACTGATGCTACACTTCGAAAAGGCTCACCAAAATTGGACAACAGAAGATTGAAAAAAATGTTGCCTGGTCTGATGAGTCTCCATTTCTGATGCAACATTCGGATGGTAGGGTCAGACTTTGGCATCAACAACATGAAAGCATGAATCCATCCTGCCTTGTATCAATGGTTCAGGCTGGTGGTGGTGATGTAATGGTGTGGGGGATATTTTCTTGGCACATTTTGGGCCTATTGAGCATCATGTCAACGCCACAGCCTACGTAAGTAGTTGTCGCTGACCATGTCTATCCTCTTCTGGACTACCTCCGGCAGGATGACGTGCCATGTCATATAGCACGAATCATCTCAGACTGGTTTTTTGAACATGACAATGAGTTCACTGTACTCAAATGGCCTCCACAGTCACCAGACATCAATCTAATAGAGCACCTTTGGGATGTGATGGAGCGAGAGATTCAGATTATGGATGTGCAGCCAACAAATCTGCAGCAACTGTGTGAAGTTCAATATGGACCAAAATCTCTGAGGAATATTTCCAGTATCTTGTTAAATCTATGTCGGAAAGGATTAAGGCAGTTCTGAAGGCAAAATGTTGTCCAACCAGGTACTAGTAAGGTGTACCTAATAAAGTGGCCAGTTAGTTTAAGTTGTTAAAACAAACAGCAAACATCTATTTTGTTTATGTAAAAATACTGACATTCAAAAAGAAAGATTTTACAGGGATAACCCAAACTGAAAAAATCTGATATCACCCTACGATACGTCTTCGATACGATCTGTGGCTGATCAGTCTGACCATCCTTAACTTTCAGTATATTTCTTCATATGGAAGTCAATGGGAGAACCAACAATGTATGATTGTCCCACAGTCTTTAAACTATCTTTGTTTATATTCAACATGAGTAACTCGTATTCTTAAAACTTGACAGTGAGTAAATGATAATAGAATTATCATTTTTGACTATCCCTTTAACATGCACCAAGTAATGTACATATGTTAAAAATCAGAGGCTGTGTAGGATAGACTTTTATTAAATATATGTCCATGGTGTAGAATTTTCAGCTTTACTAAGTGGGCGGCACATCTTACCCCACTCCTCCCATCAAAACCAACAGTGATTCACAGGGGAGTTTATAACCAGGGTAGTTTTGAAGCACATTGTAATTATCATTCAAAGAAAACACAGCAATACACAACTGTTTTCCACACAGACAGCTTCTGGAAAAAAAAAAAACCCTCCTTAAACAAAGCATCGTTGAGCACACGGTTCGGATGGTGTCGGATGGTGTAATTACAAGTAATGATATCCCACAATATGTAGGCACGTTAAGCATGCGCAGATCAGGATCAGTGTGCTGAAAGCATTGCTGCCTGGCCATTTAAAATGTATTGAAGCATCTTCCCTACAAGCTCGAAATACCCAGAGAGACTCCAAGTGGAGAAACCAAGTCTCTTAAATTCTTCATTATATGCATGAACCCCGATGTGATCATTTGCATGCTTACACACGCGCATAAACAATGCGCATTGCATTGCTTTCCAGCTGGCCTAAATACAGCTGTTTACAAAGTCTCCCTATTTCATGTGTGTGTTTCTTCATCAGATTTTCTGATGTGTGGCCTTTTGTTTCTTTTAAAGGCCGGATTTATTTAATGTTGGATTGAGAAATCCAGTGTACTTTTTGCACATGCTTATAGCACATCTCAATGGAAGCCAGGTTTCGCAGCAGGATTAAAATATTAATAATAAATAAAATGGATAATTGTGACTTTTTATCCCAGTTTTTCGAAAGTTGTGAGATTTTAGTTCTAAGAAAAAGTCAGAATTAGAAGAAATTCTGAGTATCTGTTTTGCAATTCAGTTTGTCTGGTTTTTCTGAGAGTTACTTTTCTTTCTCACATTTGCAAATTAGATTTTATCGAAAACTGTTCCCTTTTTTCTTCAAAACACTTGGAAATTGTTATTGCCTTAATTTTTTAAGTTTAATCAAGTTAACTACAAGTCATTTCAACTTACATTAGTAATCCGACTTAAAACATCAAGGTTAAAATGTGAATAACTTAAACCTGATGCACTTATTAAGGGTGCTTTCACACCTGGGGACCGATTCTTTTGTTCCGAAACAGGGTTAAAATTGTTACAATGTTGCACTTTGTTTTTGGTGCTGTTCACTTTTACCCGGCAAAGTGTCTAAATAAACCAAAAGAGCTAAAACAAGTCACGTGCGAGTAAACTCTCTTCACATTGGTCAGAGTTTCATGGTTTTTCATCTGTCACGCATAATTTATGACTATCAGCGATAAGGCATTATAAGCGAAAAGCTGTGCTTTCATTTTGAATGGTGACACCCACAGACATCATCACCAAATATAAATCAGAGGTAAAACTTTTTTCATACATAGCAGTTGGTTTCTGCATTATAGGCTTTACATTATAGAGAGAAATAACAAATAAACTAAGACTGCTGTTCACAATTTTCTTTACACATAAACAGCTCTTGTTAATGGTTAACATGCTTTCACTTTCGTATTTAACATTAGATGCACATTTATTTGTAGGTATGATGACATCCCACCCTACTCAATATTCTCTCTTCATATAGCCATATATATCCATAATACGCTGTGATATAGTCTGGTTCTGATCGTATTGCTTTCTTACTACACTCTCAGAAATAAAGGTACGCAAGCTGTCACTGGGGTGCTACCTTTTCAAAAGGTACAAATTTGTACTTTAAAGGTCCATATTAATACTTCAAAGGTACATATTAGTATCTTAAAATTTGTTGGTACTAATATATACTTTTTAGATACCAATATGGACCCTTTAAGTACAAATGTGTACCTTTTGAAAAGGTGCCACCCCAGTGACAGCTCGCATACCTTTATTTATGAGAGTATACACTCAATCTGCTCCAGAGTTCCATTCAGGCAATCTCAGGCCAATTGTTTTGTTGCGGATATGAGTGTGAATGCTGGATTTACATATGCCAAATGAACTGTGCTAACTGGGGAAATGCGCCAGGTTCTGAAACAAAAGTCTAGGTGTGAAAGCACCCTAAAATAAGTAAAAATGACATAAATGTGTTATAAGTTTTTAACTATAAAAATTTTCAATGAAAGCTACATTTATTCTGAGAATTGTTATTGTATTTTTTTAAGAATTAAAAAATGTATAGACTTTCCTGCTTTTCCATTTTTCCAATTTATTCCTTGACTTTATTTCCTGCTGTTACAGACTTTCTTCCAGTTCTGCCAATTCTGTCTTTATTTCTTGCAAATCTGATTCTACATCATGCAAGTTCGTTTCAGGAATTTCAAAATGGCATGAATAAAGTTTAGATTTGAATTTATAAACTTACTATAGATATAAATATCTCAGAAATCTGAGAATTAAAGTATCAATTTATCTCAAAATTTAGAGTAACAGGTTATATTTTTATTTTATTTTAGGTTTTTTTTTTTGGGGGGGGGATTTGCAGCTTTATTTTTACATATATTA